CTCGTCCAAACGTCTAATCTCTAGTGATAATCCATGTAGCTTAGACACCAACACAAAGAAGCAATAAAAGATTAAGAGTGTTAGCTCTAATTCTTTTTGCTATGTAGTTTACACATAAGAAATCTTTTCATAAGAAGATAGCATGATTTCTTTCTATAGAAGTTGGAGTGATTTTTTTTTTTATAAAGAAGATTGGATCTCTCTCTCTCTCTCTCTCTCTCTCTCTCTCTCTCTCTTAGGGAATTCAACCACTCTTTGTATAATAGAAGTTATGTAGCTTAATGTACCTTTTTATCTTTATAAATCCTATATTAGCTTTAATAATTTTTTACCCGAAGTTATCAAAAATGTCTATCCACTTAAAATACTATTTGCGGGCTTTCACTTAAGCCTATTGGCCCAAACACCTTTAGCCTAATGACTCAACAATTAAATGGATATTATAAATAGGATAGGTTGGGTATTTTAAGGAGGTCCACATTAGGAAACCATTTCATAAGTTATCCCTATCAACTTAGGAAACATAAATTTGAAAATTATTTCCTAATATTTTAAGAAACTCAATTTAAGAAACTGTTTAAAATTATAGGAATTCTAGATTAGAAATCGATTTCTATTTTAGAACGATTTCTATTTTAGAAAATTGATTTTTATTTTAGAAAACTGATTTTTAAATTAAGAAACTATTTCCAAAATTCTTTTAGTGCTTAAGGAATTGAAATCAATCAATTCAACTCCTATTTTTCTTTCATAATTCTTTGTTTCTCTTTATCCGTGTCAATGTCAAGCTTATGCATGTAACTCAATAAGCTTCTAGATATATTAATAATGTGTTAAGAAGAAAAAGAAAACTCTTTCATCTCTCGATACATAAATTAAGATTGGTCTTTAGTAGGGTATCATAACTATCCAATTATCTAGAAGGATTACTTAACCCATCATAACCTTTCAAGAGTATGTTTTCCATATAATTCAGTTCTCATGTCAATTTATTACGAGTGTGATCTCAAACTTAGTTTGGTGTCTATTCAATCATGATCACATAAGTTTTCTTCGATCTTCAAATATCTTAGCTCTCAAGTAAACCAATCATGCTCTATTGGTATACTTCTACCGTGCCTATAGATTCTTAACTAGACATCCATCGAAATGAAATGTGATAACTATTTTAGCATATAAGAAATGATATGTTCTGTCTTAGTTATCCACCTATCTTTATTAGATTCTTGATGTATCCAACAAATCGTTCACATGCGACTCTTTATTGAGCCCATTGAAATAAATGTCAAAGTACACCAATTCTCTAATAAGATAATCATTCTAACTTTAAGTCTAAGGACTACTTGTAGGCATCTTGTATGAGATTTCTATAGACTATACCAAATAGATTCTTATGACGACTCATGTCCAAGTGATATATTCTCTAATACTATCCACTCGTGTGCTTACTTTGGCATCACCATACCAATAAGTATAAGATCTCCTACTACTATCTTATAGCAAGAGCATAGAACATACAAATCTTATCGAACATTTATCAATATTTAATTTTGATAATGCTATGACTTAAGATATTCAATAATATCATTTAAGTGCATTAATAATGATATCATTTAAGTGCATTTAATAATATAATTTAAGTGCATTGATCTTTGTCTCGTATATATTGATCAATCATCAAGATAATGAATATCATATAGATTTTAATCTAATTTTATTAAGCTATAAATAACATGAATTAATATAAAGACTTTTTTATTAATAAAAAATGTAATAATACAATATTTAAACCATCCAAATAGATTGGATCTTAGGCACCTACATTAAAAATCTTATAGAGTTGTTGTTCATACTAAGGCAAGCTTAGCCTAAGATTAAACGGAAGAATAAGGGTGTTATTCTTCTTATTGATAGGGAAAAAGGCAAGTGAAAGGAAAAAAAAGCCTAGGCAACAAAAGAAAAGGTCTTTTCCTACACCTACTAGAGGGGTCAAAAAGGCTAAGGTTCAAAATAGTCAAAAGGATGCGGTTTGTTTTCATTACAATAAAACAAGACATTAGAAGCACAACTACAAGGAGCACTTAGTAGAGGTTAAAAAAAAAAAAAAGAGTTCTACTAGCATATCAAATATTTATGTTATTGAAGTTAATTTTTTTCTTGTAATCCCATCTCATGGGTATTTGATACTAGATGTGAAGCTCACATTTATACAAATATATAGAGATTTAGAGAATCAAGAAAGATTGTTTTAGGGTAGGTGGACTCGCTCGTAGGCAATGGATCAAGAGTTGTACCATTAGATATAAGCACATATGAGTTAGCACTACCATCCGGACTTATGCTTAAATTTAGGAACTATTACTATATTTCTAGTATTATTAGAAACATTATTTTCATTTCTTATTTGGACCAATATGGTTTTTTTTTTATTTAAGAATAATAATAATTCTTTTTATAAAGATGAATTTTTATATAGAAATGTTATAGTTAATAATAGTTTGTATGTTTTAAACATAAAATTATCCATATATAATATAAATAGCAAAAGACTCAAATTAAATTATCTAAACAAAACATATTTGTGGTATTGTCGATATGGCCACATAAACAAGAGTTGCATATCCAAACCTCATAAAAATATGTACCTAGACTTATTTGATTATGAATCTTATGATATCTATAATATTAATATAGGTGCTAAAGATCTAACATGTTTGGATGGCTTGATATATTGTATTGTTACATTTTTAATATCAATAAAGAAGTCTTTCTATTAATTCTTCTATTTATAATTTGATAGAATTAGATAGAAGTATATATGATATGTATTACATTAATGATTGATCAATAGATATCAGACAAATATTTATATATTTAAATGATATCATTACATGTCTCAAGTTACGGTATTGTCAAAGTTAGGCATTGAAAATATGTGATAAGACTTACGAATGTTGTGCTCTTACTACAAGACGGTAGTAAGAGATCCCACACCTACTAGCATGGTGATGCCAAATAAGCACTTAGATAAATAATGTTAAAGAACATATCGCTAGACGTGACTTACCATGAGAACTTGTTTGGTATTGTCTATGGGAATCTCATACGAGATGGGTACAAGTAGTATTTTGACTTGAAATCATCATGGTTATCTCATTAGATGATTGGTGTACTTTGATATTTATTTTGATGGGATCAGTAAAGAGTTGCATGCAAGTGATTTGTTAAGTGCATTAGGAATCTAATAGAGATAGATAGATGTTTGAGATATGACATGTCATTTCTTATATGTTAAAGGAGTTATCACATTGCACTTTTATGAATATCTACTTAAGAATCTGTGGCTACGGTACAAGCATTTCAATAGAGTATAGTTGGTTTACTTGAGAGTTAAGACATTTAAAGATTGAAGAAAACTTATGTGATCATAATCGAATAAACTATAAACCAAGTTTGAGATCACACTCGTGATAAATTGACATAAAAACTAAATTGTATGCAAACCATATTCGTGAAAGGTTATCATGGATTTAGTAATCCTTCTAGAGAATTAGATAGTCATGATGCCTTACTAGACGTCAATCTTGATTTATGTATCAAGAGATAAATAAAGTATTTTTTATCTTCTCAATCCATTTTTCACATATCTAGGAGCCTATTAAGTCACACGCATAATTTTCAACATTCACACGGAAAAAGAGAAGCAAAGATTTTAAAACAAGTTTCAAATTTTGGAAATCAATTTCTTATTTTGAAAATTGGTTTCCTATTTTAGAAATTAGTTTCTTAATTTAGAAATTCAGTTTTCAAATTTGGAAGTTAGTTACCAAAAATGAAAAATAATTTCCTAATTTAGGTTTAAAGGTAGCTTATGAAATTATTTTCTAATGTAGGTCTTCCTAAAAATACTCGACCCAATTTATTTGGATGGTCCAAATTAATTGATGAATAATTAGGCTCAAGGAGTTTGGACCAATAGATTTAAGTAAAAACCTACAAGATATTTTTAGTGAATAAATCATCTTGAGCACTAAAGGATAAGATCAAATAAAGCCCGCATAAGTTACAACTCTTTTTCCAAAAACGAGTTATTGCTACTCCCTATAAATATAAGGGAGAGAGAGACACATTAGAGAAGAATAACACACACAATCTAAGATTTAGAAAAATGTGTGTGTATCTCTCCTAAAAAATAACAAACCCGTAACCCCTCTCTTAGAAAAAATGTGTGCTAACCCTAAAAGATTATCTAGCCTTGAAAGAGAATAAAACTTAGGACTTAGTGGCTAAACCCAAGGATGTGAAAGCCATATCTTGCAAATATGTTTACAAGAGAAAGGCGAGCCGGATGGATCAATTGAGAGATAGAAGGCTCACTTACCGGCTCGAGGGTTCTCATAGTAGTATAAACTAGATTATAATGAAAGGTTCGATCCAATGGCAAATATTAAAACCATACATGTCCAACTAGTGCTTATAGTTAGCAAGTCCCGAAAGTTGTGGAAGATGAACGTGAAGAATGCTTTCTTATATATAGAATTAAATTAAGAAATTTACATGGAGCAGACCACAAGGCAAAGAGAGTAAACCTTGATGGAGTGTGAGAATTGAAAAAAGCTCTGTATGGGTTTTTGCAAGCACCAAGGGCAGTAAAATTGCTAAATTTTGAATTCAAAGTAGATATTTAGTGGCACTTATGGATTCAAGTCTATTTCTTAAGACTCAAGAATGAGAAGGCAAGTCGGCATTCGAGTTGAGAAAGAGTGCCTAAAAGAGGAGGGCTTCGAGGATTGGGAATATGAGTGAATTATAGAGTGAGGGGCAAATCGAAGGTTTGTCCATTGGGATTAGGCATGGACTAGCCTAGATAAGCATTGATGAAAAAAGAAAAACTTCTCCCATCGCGTCATTAATCGATGTAGGATTAAAGATCATGTCCAAGATTTGAGTCACATCGACCTTGCCTCTCATCCTAGGGTTTGGCAAGGAATTCAAAAAAAATGTTCGTTGTTCAATATCTTATCTCGACTCGCTCAAGAAGGACTAGCTTCTCCTCGACCCGAGTGGATTCTAAGGGAAGGTTACATCCTATTTGCTACTTCTTGCATGTTTTTTTAAGCTACGTGGATCATCAATAGATATTGGATATTTGGATGGTTCTTTTTGCAAATTGAATTCTATGCTTATAAGAAGTAACTTCAAATCATATTATTGTTGATATAGTTAGTTGATTCAATGACTGATCTTAGGAACTTTAGATGGAAAAGAATAAAATTTTTTGTTTATTTCATACCTCCATAGGATGCATGATCCTTCATGTAAATCTTTTTTACATAGTAAAATGATAAAATTCTCTTTCTCTGGAAAAGAAAAAAAGGCTACTAACTTGTTAGTCCTTGCACATACTAATGTATATGGGCTCATGTCGATTTAAGCAAGAGGGGGATATGATTACTTCATAGACTTTATTAATGATAGATCACATTTTAGTTATGTGTATCTAATGAGAAACAAATCTAAAGCTTTTGAAAAGTTCAAAAAATTTAGATTTGAAGTCAAGAAATAAACTAGAAAAAGTTATCATGGCACTCGATCCGATCGAGGTGTTGAATATTTGAGTAGTGAATTTTTAGATCACTTAAAAGAGAATGATATTCTCTCTCAATGGACTCCACTTGGAATGCCACAAATGAATGGTGTGTCCGAAAAGAGAAATAGGATACTGTTAGAAATGGTCTAGTCCATGATAAGTCTTACCGATATGCCCATTTCACTTTAGGGATATGCACTCTTTACTATAATCTTTATTTTGAATAGGGTTCTAGTTAAATCTATTGATCAAACACAATATGAGATATGAAAAGGAGAAAAAAAAAAGCAAATCTATCTTTCTTTGAGATTTAGGGTCGTGAAGTATATATCAAATGTTTAGATAAAGAAAAGCTCGAGCCTAAAGCTACGAAGTGTAGATTTATGAGATATCTAAAAGAAAAAAATGACTATTAATTTTACCAACCATAAGAACAAAAGATGTTCATGGATAAACATGTTATATTCCTTAAGAAAGAATTTATAGATGCTAAAACCGAGTAGGTGAAAAGTTAAACTTGATGATAGTCGAGCTAACTCACAAATTGACACTCTCCTTATGGAACCTTAAGTAGATAAATTATAAAGTTTTATAACTATTCCATAAATAAATATACAAGAAATCCGTAGCTCTAAGCAAATTTATCAAGAGCTAAAAAGATATGGTCTTCTTATCTCCGCACATGATAATGTGCCTTTTATAGAGGATGATGAACCTAATACCTATGAAGAAGCGATGTCAAAAATTGAATCCAAAAAATGGCATGAAGTTATGAAATTCGAAATGGAGTCCATATACACTAATCAAGTATGGACTTTAGTTGAGCCACCTAAAAATTTTAGACCTATTAGGTGTAAGTGGGTTTTTAAGAGAAAGACTAACATGGATAAAAATTTACATATGTATAAAGCCAAACTAGTGGCGAAAGGTTATCATCGAAAAACAAGGAATTGACTATGATGAGACCTTTTCACTAGTAGCTATGGTAAAATCCATTATGATCATACTTATAATTGCTACATATCATGATTATGAGTTATGAAAGATAGATGTCAAAATACCTTTCCTTAATGGAAATTTACGTGAGGATGTGTACATGACACAAGTTGATGATTTTGTCATCAAAGGACATGTAAATAAGGTTTACAAGCTGTAAAGATCCATTTATGGACTTAAGTAAGCTTTTAGGAGTTGAAATCAACATTTTGATAAAATGATCAAAAAGTTAGACATTTCACAAATTGAAGATGAACCTTATGTATACAAAAAGGTTAGTAGGAGCTTAGTAGTCTTTATTGTTCTATATGTGGATGACATACTATTACTTGACAATGAAACTATCATATTCCAATCTGTAAAAGATTGGCTATCTAAGAATTTCTACATGAAAGAAAAGGGAGAGGCAGCCTACATTTTAAAAATTAGGATCCATAGTGATAGATAAAGAAAGTTAGAACTCTCTCAAAGCACGTATATTGACAAAGTACTAAAGAGGTTTAGTATGGAAGAATGAAAGAGGAGACTTCTTTCAATGTCACATGGCATAAAACTCTCTAAGACTAAGTGTCCTAAAAGACAAAGTGAAAGGAAAATGATGAATTGTATTCCCTATTTATCTCGCCATAGAATCAATCATGTACATCATGCTATATATGCGAGCTTGATGTCTCACATGCTTTGAACATTTGTAGTAGATATTGAGTTAATATGAATAAAAAAACATTGGATTGATGTAAAGAACATTTTTAAGTACTTAAAAAGAACTAAGGATGTTTTCTCAATCTATGAAGAAAATGATCTATTTCCGAACAGATTTCACACATGCTAGTTTTCATATTGATCATAATGACTTTAAGTCACAATCAAGACCCATTTTCATATTCAATGGTGGTGCTATAAGCTAGAAAAGTTCTAAGTAAGAAACAATAGTTGAATCAACAATCGAGGTTGAATACATTAAAGCCATAGAAGCGGCTAAAGAAGGCTGTATGGATTTATAAATTTGTATCCGAACTACAAGTGATTTCAAGCATTGTTGACCCCATAGTATTACACTATAACAATAATAAAGCCATAACACGAGCTAAGGAACCAAGGTATCATCAATGATCCAAGTATGTACTCGTGACCTTATCATTTGACTATAGAGATTATCATTTATGGTAACATAAGGATAGAAAAGGTACACATCGATGACAATATAATAAATCCCTCGACTAAGCCCTTATCATAACAAAAACATGAAACTCTTGTTCGATCTTCGAGTACTAGGGACATGGCTAGTTGGCTCTAATGCAAGTAAAAGATTGTTAGTGTAGGTGTCCAAGATCCAACCTCGCTTAAATGGTTTGAATATTATATTATTATATATTTATTAATAAAAATCCTTTCTAGTAATTCATGTTATTTATAACTTGATTGAATTAGATAAAAGTCTATATGATGTTCATTGCTTTAATAATTGATTAATAGATAAAAGACAAACACCAATGTACTTAAATGAAATTACTAAATGTCCTAAGTCATAGTATTATCAAAATTAGAAATTGATAATATACGATAAGACTTGTGTGTTCTATTTTATTGCTATAAAAGTAGTAAGAGATCGAAACAAGCACACATGTAACTAATATTAGAGAATATATCACTAGATGTGAGTCACCATGAGAACTATTTGGTATAATCTATAAGAATCTCATATGAGATGGGTACAAGTAGTCTTTTAACTTAAAGTTATCATAGTTATCTCATTAGAGGATTGGTGTACTTTGACATTTATTACGATAGGCTCATTAAAGACCTACATATGGGTAATTCATTAGGTATATTAGGAATCTAAGAGAAATAGGTGGATAACTAATATAGGACATATTATTTTTTATATGCTCAATGAGTTATCACATTACACTTCAATGAATGTCCGCTTAAAAATCTGTGACCATAATGAAAGTATACCCATAGAGTATAATTGTTTTACTTAAGAGCTAAGACATTCAAAGATCGAAGAAAGCTTATGTGATCATAATAAACAAATGACAAATCGTGAAAGATTGTTGTAAATTAAGTAATCTTTCTTGATAATTAAGTAGACACGATGCCTTACTAAAGTTCAATATTGATTTATGTATCAAAAGATAAAAAAAAATTGTCTTTTACTTCTCGATATATTGCCAACATATCTAGAAGCCTATTGAGTCATAAGCATAAACTTGACTTTGACTTGGATAAAAAGAAGTGAAGAATTATGAAAGAAAAATGAGAATTGAAATAACAAATTTTAATTCCTTAAACACTAAAAGAATTTTGGAAATATTTTCCTAAATTGGAATTCCTATAATTTAGGAAATAGTTTCCTAAATTGAGTTTCCTAAAATATTGGGAAATGGTTTCCTAATTTGGCTTTCCTAATCTGATATGGGTAATTTAGGCCTAAATTAGGCCTCTTTAAAATACCTAACGTAGCTTATTTTTACGATCCATTAAATTACTGAGTCATTGGGCCAAAGGTATTTGGGCTAATAAGCTTAAGTGTAAGCTCGTTAAGGGTATTTTAAGTGGAAAGGTATTAAACCTAATACGGGGTTTATAAATAGAAAAAGATGCATCAAGCCATATAACCCATAATAGAGAGAGTTGGTCAAAACTCCCCTAGAGAGAGAGAGAGAGAGAGAGGCACGTAATCTTCTTTACGGAAAGAAAATTATGTAATTTCCCTTATAAAAAGAATTTGGTGCAAGATTTTTATAGCATAAAGAATTGGAGCTAGTACTCTTGATCTTCTATAGCTTATTTGTGTTGGTGTCTAAGCTATGTGGATTTTTACTAAAGATCGGACACTTGGACGATTTAATCCACTACCTTGATACGAGTGCTTTAAAAGGTAATAATCTAAATGATTTTTTAATATAATTAGTTAATTCAACGGTGATCTTGGGAGTCTAGATGGAGAAAAACAAATTTTATTATTTATTCCACTCCTCCATATGATTTTTTTCCTTTAAGGTCACTTAAAACAATCGGATCATTAGTAAAAGTAAGGACGAGTCATCCAAAATAACCAAACCATTAGTAAAAGTAGGGACGAGTCACTCGAAACAACCAAACCATCGGTAGTAGTAAGGACGGAGTTACTTGAAACAATTAGATCATCGGTAAGACTAAGAGAAGGTCACACAAAACAAACAAATTATCAATAGGAGTAAGGATAGGTCACCCAAAACAACTAGACCATCGGTAAGAGTAAGTGCAAGTCATCCGAAACAAGCGGATCGATCTTGTCTTCCGAAAACTCTTTATTTCTTTATAAGCTTACTAAGAAAAGCTGATCCAAAGTTTACACTTCAAATCGGCATTGCATTGTAAACATTGTAAAGATACGGCACCAATCATAACCCTAAATTTTCCCCTCTTAATTATTTTACAATTTATTTTATAGTGTAGGTTGAATTTATGCTTTTTATTTATTATTACTATTTAGTTTTGTTTTATTATTAAGGTTTAATTATATGTTTTAGTCTAAAATAAAGAAAATAAAAATGAAATGAAATGAAAAAAAAGAAAATATATTAAAAAATATGGATTAATTTCTTTTTATCTTATTAAAATACCATAAATATGAAAATACCAAGAAAAGGAAAAGAAAAAAAGATAGGAAATATAACTAAGGGTGTAATTGAATAGAATTAGGAATAGAAGCCAAAATCAAGGAATATAGGTGTGTAATTGCAAAATTTAAAAAAATAAAAATAAAAACCAAAATTTTAAGGCTCGAAGGATTCAACTAAAGGGAAATTGCAACATGAAAGAATGTTAATTGAAGGAAAGAATGAATAACAAAACAAACTTTGAAGTTGTCCTAAACAACTTGTCATTCGTTATGTTATTTAGCTACAATATTAGCTTCCCCTCCGGTATTGTTCATCATCTTCTATGTATAAAACAAAAGATGAACCAAACGAAAATACTAGTTGGCATTCATACCATTGGACAACTAAAAACAAAGAAGAAGCAGGCCCTCACACATAATAAAAAAATGGTCGGGATGAAGTGAGAAGGATCTAAAGGTTGAGGAGGAAGGAAGAGTAATATAAATACACGAGTTTGGTAGTACCATGAAAGGGGGTTGGTTTTCAAAATCTTTGAGCTTTAGGGTTTTTAAGAACTAATACTTGGCTTTGATAGTCGATAAACATAGAAGAAAGTACAAAAAAGAAGGAAAGAGTCATGCTTGAAGAATAGTTTAAAGAGATCTATGTTCTTAAACACTAAAAACGAGAGAAATTCGGAGAGAAAGAAATTCATGCTTCAAGCATCCTTATCATCAACTTTGTCTCTCATAGTCACTGAGCTCCAAACGGATACCATTCTTACTTCCTTTCCTTTATTTTTTTAGTTTAGACTAGTTTCTCATTGTTGTCTCCGTATCATCCTAAATTCTCTAAAAGCTTAGACATTTTCAAACTTAGGGATTAAGAATAGTGAATTTGTCACTATCACCATGTGAAAATATAGAACTTTGAGTAGTCTTGGCCACTTTTGTTTGGGTTTGGTGTTTTTGTTTTTGATAAATGATTGGATGGTTGACATGTTTCATCCATAACCATTAAAGGACTAAGTTTTTCTTGAGAATGACAAATGATGTTATCCATTTTTGCATAGAGATCATAACATTCAAATAAGGAGGAATGGAACCTTGATTGAATATAGATTAGTATGTAGGACATTTGGTTTAGGTGGAAATGGAAATGCTATGAAGAGGAGGAGGAGGAGGAGGAGGAGGAGCACGAGCTAGGAAGAAGGAGCAAATGGCATGGGCTAGGGTTTAGTGCTGCGGTTGGGTTGAGGCATGAACCAGGTGAAGCAAAGCAAGGGATTACGAAAGCTTGAGGCCTAAGGCCTTGGTTCGACTAGAGTTGTAGAATTGGTCCAAGGAGAGGCCTAAGGTTTAAGTTGGGCTAAGGCTACAAGTTTAGGGGAAAGCAAAAGTGTTAGCCAAGAGAACTTCGAGCCTAGAGTTGTTTAGTCCCGTTTGCTATGGTAATAGGGCCGGGCTCATGGGCCATATAGTGTGGATGATGGGTCTCTTTCTTGTCTTTGGATTGTATGACTATGGACTTTAGTTTAGCGTTGGGCTTTTATTGGGCCAAGGGATGAAACCTTAGGCCCTAAACGAGCATATTTTTAATTTTATGATTTATTTTTAGATTTTAATTATTTTAACAAGGTTTCCTTAATCATTTTGACCTAAATTTTTTATACGTGTTACATATGTTTATCCTTAGTTTGTGTTTAAAATTTCATAATTTTTTAAGTCCATTTGCTATTTATTTGAAATTTTATTTAATATTTTACCTAATTTTAATTATTTTGATTTTCTAGGAAATTTAATTATTTAGCTCTCTATTTGATTTTATTTTAATTCAAATTTTTTTTGATATATTTTTAGGCTTGTATATAGGTTGTGTGTCAAGTTTCATAACTTTATGAGTTAATCTTCTATTTATTTAGTACTTATCATTATTCTATTATCTATTTTAATTATTAATGTGTCTTATTTTAATAGCCTTTTTTTTTAATTCCAATACCTTTATTATTTTAATCTGAAGTTACTAGGGTTTGTAGATATATTTGCCCATGTCTTGTGTTTCAATTTTCATAATTTTTAGAATTTATTTGCTATTTGCTTATACTTTATTCCAAGTATTAGAATTTTTAATGTAATATATTTACTATTTAGTTAATGTGATAATGGATCATCAAGTCTTCTAGATTCTAGAGACTAATGATGATTCTTCATCAAATTCGTAATGCTAAAAAAACATCATTTTAGAATAATTAAGGAATTCAAGTCAATTTAATAAGTCTTTTATTTAACGAGGATGAATGTTATCCTCAACACCAAAAAAGAAAATAAAATCAAAAGGTCAATTAATAAAAATATAAGTAAGATATTATTAGTAATTAGATCATTTCTTGATATGCTAGTCATGTTAGGACTTATTTGGATTCAATGTTAAATTGACAAGATTTTTAGTTTCGGAACCGATGCCAATTTAATACAATGTTATAATAAAAAAATAAAAAAATAATATGACTTAGATAACAAACAAATTTGAAAATAATTATAGGAAATAATTCAGCAATATAAACTTTGAAAAGATTCATTTTATGATTAAACTATACATGATAAAAAAAATTATTTTTTAAAAAGATTGTATTTAGGTGATTATTATCTTTCTAAAAACATAACCAATTCCTAACCAATAAATATCTTAATTTAGTGTTTTAAAAAAAATAGCTTTTTTTAATATTAAGTAGTGACTTAAAGTATCTGTTAACTCATGTCCCTAAAAACAAACAATAAATCCAAATAATTTTTATTGTTTAGAAGTCACTTAGATGTAGAGTACAGACAAAAGTCATGGGTTTGTTTGAGTTGGTTGAAGGATTGCAGCGAAGAGCTTTTGAATAAGATTAATAGAATGTTCTTGATTCATGCGATTTCTACTAGTGGAGAGTTTGCGGTGAAATGGAGGCATGGGTTCCACTCTTTGACATATTCCTTAACTCCCCAACGCCAGAAACTGAAGCATCCCTCTGGTTACAACAGTCTTCTTCTTTCGTTAATGCATCATCATCAGTTCCAATCACCACAGCCTCTTTTCTCTCTTTGCTCACCAAACCCATTCTCAACAACTCATCCACAAACAGGTGGAGTAAAACCCATTTCCCAATTTCATGTTATCTCTTACTTTTTTTCTGACATTCTCTTTTTTCTTTTTTTTCTTTTTTCTTTTTTTTCTGTTAACATATGTAACAGGAGGATCATGTTTCTACAAACACTGCCTTTTCTGGTCCAGTCCAGAATTTTGTCATTCCTTGGTTTTGAGCATCAAAGGTTTTGCAAGCGAGAGTTATCTATGTTGGCCAGGACTTTGTTGACAGAAAACAACGACATTGATTTCTGGGTTAATAGGGCTGCCCGCATTCTGCTCGACAAAGTGTCTGACTCAAGTTACCAGTGGATTTCTTGTTTAAGTTTGGACTCTGGAGAAGAGAGAGTTGTTGAGGAGTTTGGATCGATCCCAGATTGGCTTAAGGATGCTGCTTCAAGTGCCAATGAACTGTTTCTCCCTTGGTTGCCTCTCTCGCATGATATCTTGAACTCGAGAGAATTGTTTGCTGGTTATGAAAGCGAAGAAGATTTCTTGAGTCAAGTTGGAGAGGTTGGAGGTGACAATTCCAAAGATTTTGTGGAGGAAAAGGAGATTGATCGTGTCATCATTGCTCCTTTAGATGATGAAATTCAAAACATGGCAGAGAGTTTGAAAGAGAGGATTATGAGCTTTGAATCTAGTTCTAAAACTGTTGAGTTAGCAAATGAGATTCGCAGACTTAGTTTGGAGAGCAAAGCAGATTCTTATATGATTTTGAGTTTGCTTGAACCTTGGAAAGCTGATGATGAGAATGCTTCAATTCTGATTTTTCATCTTTCAAATGGAAGTGAAGAAGAAGAGCTCGCTTGGCCTACCCAAGTATTGTGTTCAATTATGCTTCCAAAGATGTTGGTGCTTGAAGAGCCAGCTTCTCGTGTACTGGTGACTGCAATGGTAGAGTACTGCAAGCTTAATCAGAGAGCTGCTGAATGTGCACTATTGTTTCCGCTGATAATGAAAAGGAATGGGATCAACAACTACCATTGTGATGTGATCACCAGGATCGTCAAGGAATGCTTGCACCCAGCTCATGTTTCTGCCTTTTGCCAAAAGTTGCTTTGTGGACAAGAAGTTGAGAAAAGATCCATCGTTCTTCCTTGCCACCAATGCCTCATATCCAGTGAACTGGTTTGGACGGAATCATTGTTTAATCTTTTTCAAAATATCTTAAATCATAACGTTCAGTTAACTCAGGATTCAGTTGATCAACTTGTGTTAGTGATTAGGGAATTGGCCCCAAGTTTCTCTAAATCTCTGAAAGTCGGAAATTTTCTGCTGTGTTTCATCACCAGATGTTCTTCATTATCGAAGTCTCATATACCTTTATTGGTTGAAACAGTTGTGAAGACCAATACTCTTGTCACTAAATCCATATTATCAAAATTGGCTAGCCTCTAGCGATGATAATGATTTTGTAGTGGCTTTAATTTTTATTTTATTTTCCGATTGCGTGCTGTGAGGTTTGATCAGTTTTAATGCGTACAATGGAAGTGGTGTTTGTAATAATTTAGGTCTTGTTTATGTTTTCCATGGAGCTTATCAGAAAAATGAACAGTGAACTATGAAATGGGAAATGTTTTCGGATCCCATAGTGCTCCTGCTAACCGGACAAGAAAAAGACCATGTCCTTCCTTGCATGGAGAAAAACAAGTAGTTCCAAGCATAGTTTTAAAAAATAACCGTACGTTATATAACGATCGTTATGTAATGATTTTGAAATATTTCGTTATTGTTATTTTCAAATTATAATAAATCACAATCTACAATGATGATCACAATCGTTTTTTCAAACGTTAATTATTTAAAACTATGGTTCAAAGTTCCAACTGACAAATAAACGCCAGTAGTGAGCATTACATATGGCAGTTTCAGGCACTAAGACTGCTGTGTCCATTGGCTATTTTCTTCATGGCTTCAAATCTGGGACCCTTATCTGAAAACTTTGTGGTAGCATAAAGCTTTAGGTAATCTTGAAATTGATAGTTTTGAGGGTATGAAAGTTTGGGTGCTGGAGAGATGATGGCATCACCAGCTGGGTTGTAGAAGGTAGCAATGGAGAGTCTGCTCCCATCCTTGCCAGCCATGACACGGTGCAAAGTACTTTTGTACCTTCCATTGCTCAACACTTCCACTTGATCACCTGTGTTGACAAATATAGTATTGTTCTTGGATGGGGGAATCTTTATCCATTCTCCATCTTTTGAGAACTCCAGACCTGGGACATGTTCATCTTGGAGCAAGAGTATGATTCCACCAGCATCGGTGTGCTGTCGAAGTCCTCTCACAAGCTCTGGTTGAGGACATTCAGGGTATTTTGCCACCTTTGTTCCCACAGAAGGACCTTTAGTTCCTGAAAACGTTTCCTTTATGTAATCCTTGTCCAATCCAAGATTCTCAGACATGAGTCGAGAAAGCTTCTCTGCTAGGGGAATCAGTTGGTTGATGTACTCATCCATTGTTTTGCTGCATAAATAACACAGAGAACATGCGCTTATACATATTTCTGGAGAATTATGTCTGTACAAATTATTGGTTATAATTACAATCAATCTTGGTTATTAAGGACATACATACCGAAGATCCTCTGAGAGGTTGTGGACATCATTGATGTTGGAAGTTGGGCGATGCCAAATGAAGAAACTGCTTTCCCAGTCTATATGGCATTTGTTCATCAAGCCTTCTTTAGCTATCTCTGACTCATAAAAGCTTTCTTTCAAATTTTCCTCGTAGTGTGAATTCACCAATTTCTTTACCTTGTCCATCAGCTTTTTGTCGATTCCATGGTTCTCAACCTGCACGCATGAGAGCCAAATAAGACGATAGGGGTGTGTCGTGCGATCAAATTTTTTGAAGAAGGAAAAATCTCATTGGTACCTGAAAGAAGCCCCATTTCTCACAAGCTTGGTGCAGAAGAGCAATAGCTTCGCTTCTGCTCTCGCCCTCGAGTTGGCTCAAATCTATCAGAGGAATCTCCATCTTCATTCTTTCCTTCCTTCCTGCTTTCTTTTCTTTTCTTTTCTACCCCTCAACGTAGAATATAGGTGACAAGTCTGCTCATATTTAGATATGTATATATAGGCTCAGCTCAGAGACGGGGGGCGTCCGACCATAACTATATATGTTAATTATTACAACAAGGGCAGTTAGATTTGAAGCAACAGTTACAGATTAATCTGAAGCAGTCTCACTATAATGTAATGTAATATAATTTTAGACACAAACTACTTAATTAATTAGGGTGGCAAGGCAATAGCCAATCTGCCATATAATTAAAAATTAATTTTCTATATATATATATATATATCTCTAGATAGACTGTTGAAATAATCAAGTCAGAGTCTAAATACAATTCATCATCACCATGTGATTTAGCCAGATATCGAAGCTAGCTCACTTGTAAACTAATTAAGCATTGCAATCGCAGTTTTTTTTTTTTCCCAGTGAAATCATCTCGGCCAACTATGGACATAATTCGTCCAATTTTTCAATAATTAAACCACATCCTATGTCAATATCAAGGTGATATTAATTAATAGTGTTATTTTTCATGAAAATAAGTCTGGTGTATATTTGTAAAAAAGTTCGGTAAAATTGTTTGCCGTACCTTACACGTAAACCAAGCACCGTCAACTAGAAGTATGATGGTTAATTTTTTTCTTTTTTTATTTTTTTTTTCCCAAGGAAAATGGATAATTTTTTATCTCGTGACTCCCACGATAACTGTATACATAGAATAACATTGGATTTCATTGACAAACACATTTGGTATCCAATGATATCTCAAATCATTTTCTTCGATCCCCCAAATCCAGTGTTCTTTTCTCTCCTCTTGAATTAACATGTCAACTAGCCTATATATATATATTTGTTTATTGTATTGTGAGGAAAGTTACTTTGATAAGAATTAAACATTCATTTTCCTCCGTCAGTTTTAGCAAATCTGTGGGCTGTGCAGTGGTTCCCAAACAACCTGCGTGAAATAATAATAAGATGGGATCTCAATGGTCTCCAATGGGCCCTTTTGTCTGTGTGCTGCTATAGTATCATGCTCTGACCTTTTCTCCCCTTCTGCAGCTTGTCTGATATATATATATATGATTTCTGAAATTTCAGCCCGTTATTAAGATGTTTTAGGACCTTCCTTTAACTTTTAATTTTCAGTATTCATGCATGCATGCCTACCCAACAATGAAAATAAAATAGAATAAAATAAAGTCACCTTAGCAATGCCCGACAATCCTACCAGGAAAATTATTGGGGTAGTAAATGATTCCAAATCAAAATCCTTTAATTTCAAAGGATGAAATTAATTTTTTGAAAAAAAAAAACTTAATCTAACAGTTGTGTACTTAAAAAAAAGAAAAAGAATAAAAAACCATCTTATGATTCTAAATTTTTTCGGGGATTATGTGATGAGAAAAAAACTATCTTTTTGTTGTGTAACTGAAAGACGGCTCATGTACCTCTAATGAAAAAGAGAGAGAGAGAGAGATCGATTTAGCGAAGAGGGCCATCATTATGCTGTACCTTAAAAATCTTTATCAATCTCTAAAGATGTAACATGGTCGTTGCTATTTTACTAGTTTCCATCCAACCTAAGCGGTTGGTTAAAGGAGTGTTTACTTTTTGCACCTATTAGGATTCAGATCATATTTTTAGAACCAAAAACCTGAAATATGCACTTAGAAGGTTGTTTGCCTCCCACTCTGTTGCGCTCTGCTTTTACTGCTAAAATCAGAAATATGGAATTAGAAGCTGTTTATTCGGTAGTAAACTATGGTGGTGTGCTGAGTAAATTAATATTAATATATGGTGCCTGAGAAAATCCCTGATCATACACGATGACTTATAGAAAAAAGAACTCATCATTATATCAATGCATGAATCTACATCCTTCAGATGCAACGAACCAAAAACAATCCCTACCGACAGACTGATGTTTGCCACCAGATGCGGGGCCTTCAAGTAGACCGATCCTCCCTCTAAGACCGTATGCCTTGATTTGAAAGAGATAAGGAAAGTTATTAGCTTTTAATAAAATTCCAAATTCGAGATGAACAGGCACCTACTTCCTTTTTATTGGATGGATAAGAGGGAGACCAGACCACTTCTGAATGTCCAAAATGTGGTTTGGGGCAAACAGTAACACCTGTGCTAATACTACTTTAACCTTTATTTCTCTAATAGTCAGAATATTCTCAGTCCACCTCATGAGTTTTTGGATCCCTCCTCAATTGGGGCCTAGACTGGCCATCTACCTACACACCGGATTAGACTGAGATCAACAATGAGAACAGCAACAAACATCAACCCAAACAAACTGCCCTACTTGTCACATCATCCACGCTAAATTTTGTCACTAAAATCAAAATCCAGAAACGATCTGCCTTAATTTTGTCACAGTAAGATTTATTGCGAATTTAACCTGAAAAGAGCAGAACAAACCTTCAACTAAAGTTTTGTCTCTAGAAAGCTACAGACTCTAATGATGCACCTACATATGCATCCATCCCCTCCGATTGCTATCAGTCTTTGTCAACAAAACAGAATAAAGCTAAAATCCATACGATAATCTAGTACTTAGTGCTGATTCCTATCATCATACAAGTTTCTTTATTTCATGCCCAAGTCAAGGCTTCGAAGCACAGGAAACCACATGTGACTTGAATTTCTCAAGCTCTGCCAAAACCTCATCTTCTGGCCTGTAGATCAAATCACTCATGCGCCATATCTGCACCGCACATTTTGTAATCAAATTTAACCATTACACAAATGACCAAGTTTAGAAACATCTCTAGAAGTATTCTAAATAAAGAAGTATCCCTCTAGAAATTTTAGATTAGTAACACCATTTTAAAACTCCATTCCCATCTTCATAAACACAGTAGGTTTTGCCAACTTATCCATACGCTTCCACAATCACTCAATAAGACACTACCTCGGAAAGAAATTATTACCTGCAATGTCCCCCTCCTCCAGTGGTATCACAGTCATCAGACACACTAACCACCGTCCAAGGATCAGATGCATTCCAATGAAAGTCAACAACCTTGTCCCTGAATGAACAGAAAGTCAAGGCAAATTTATGAGAATTTTCTGGCCATAAAGAAACGAGAATCAAAAAGAAATGGAGCATTCAAATATTGGAGATGTGCTTTATCATCAATCAAACATATAAATAAAGTGGGATAAAATATGGCCAAGAAAAAACACAATAAACATATGAAGACCAAAGAAAATAGATGAAACAAGTGCTTATCTACAATGAATTTAAAACAGTTATGTTGGTATCCTAGATCTGCTAGAAATGTCCCAGTTGATATGGCATTAACAAGCTCTTAACCACAAACAGGTCAATTAGGTCAACTATTTGAGTTTTCCCTGATTTGACAGGCTTTCACAGCATGTATGTAATGTTGGACTACAAAAATGCATCAGGGAGAGTGGTTGGTCAAAGCGTCACCATTCACGCTTCAGCCACCCACACTTAAAACTGCATTTGCAGTCTTGAGACAATAATGAGAGAAGAACCATCAGAAGGCTTACAAGATGGAGGTCAGTTTCAACACATCTCATGAAAAGTTATTTATTGCAGCAAAAGACATGTTGCCTCTGATTAGTAAAAGCCAAAAAAAAAAAAAAAAAGTTTTTCACATAGATATGATTGCGGGCATTTATTAAAAGAACATCTCACCTAAAAGCTTAAGCTTATAGGTGAAGCTCCAGAATATAATTTACACTAGTCTCTAACACACCCCCTCAAGTAAAAGCCCCAACATTTGAACTTGAAACTTGCACGAGTCCATATTGTCTTGTACTTAATACTTGAGAAATTGAGGATGGTGAGACTTGAACTCAAAACCTCTTGGTCAACCAAGCTCTAATACCATATTAAATGACCATCTCACCTAAAAGCTTAAGCTAATAGGTGAAGCCCCAAAATATAATTTCTATTAGTCTCTAACGAGTATTCAAGGCAAAGGGCCAATCAGAAAAGATGGTTGCTTCCGACAAAGACCAGTCAGCAGCTAGAGAAATTCAAGTTCATGTAATGGACAAGAAAATGATAAAGTAAACCCTGCAATGAGAAATGCTAAGGAATCATATTGTATGATAACATTTTCCTTTTTCAATCCAGTAAAAATGCCTGGTATGAGAAACATACATTCCAAGTACAACAAAAATGCAAAAGGTAATCCTGATGATGAATTAACAAACAGTCTCAAACCACTGAGAATTGCTTGCAACTAAGGAACTGCTTTCGAGGAGAAAAACCATCTTACAAACCTGTGCCCAGCATGCTGGAAAAACAATCCTGCAGGGGAACTCGAGGCTCTACTCAGGCACTCAGTCTTTTTGCCAACCTGTAAGAATAGAAAACAACATAGACGATGCATGCTAGTAAAACATAACCAAGGTTCCAATCACAGGAAGCAGGCAACATTGCACTCAAACAAGCAAAGCAGCTTTAGTTAGAACTTTTGAAATCTGAGGCAGCGTTGGAGGAAAAGCTTTTCCTAAAAAAGGGGGAGGTGTAGCTTAAAAGCACCATAGAGAATGCTGAGTTGAACTCAAGAGCAACTAGGTAAAGAAATCCCTCATCCATGCAACAAATAATAGATGGGAGTCTAATGACATTCAGTTTTATCAGCTTTAGTTTTTAAACTTCCTAGAAGCATCCTCAAACACTAAATATTTCATTTATCTAAATATGAAATATTAAAGGACCATCTCACCTAAAACCTTAAGCTAATAGGTGAGGTCCTAAAATATAATTTATACTGATCTCTAACACATCCCCTCAAGTGAAAGGCCCAACATTTGAAGCATGAAACTTGCACAGGTCTACATTATCTTGTGCTTAATACTTGAGAAATTGAGGATGGTGAGACTTGAACTCGGGACCTCAAGGTCAATCAGGCTTTGATACTATATTAAAGAACCATCTCACCTAAAAGCTTAAGCTGATAAGTAAGGTCCTAGAATATAATTTCTACTGATCTCTAACATGAAAAACCAGCAAGCCAAATAGGACTTCTAATAGACAATTTACATGCATGTACACACTCAAAACTATGCATTCTTGCAAAGAAGTTCCAATCATCTCTATATAATTTTATCTTTACTACGTGCAATAATTAACAGATGAACAGTTTGATCCTTTCTCCAGCTTCTTGGGGAAAAAAATAAGGAAATTAAATATTTCTTAGAGCATTTCATGCTAGAAAAAAAGTGTATGCAATCCTTTCATTTTCCCTTTCTCTTGAGGATTTTCTGACTTTCGCAATGATTTCTCAAACAGGTCTACATTGCAAAGGTACATCTGTTTTGTGTTCAATTAGATGGGTTGAAGCCTATGCACAGGCAATCCAGCTGATGTGTGAAGAGATTAGACATCCAAACCTTCTCATAATCCCAAATATTTAGGAGACCATCCTCCGCAGAACTCCCAAAAACAGATGCCTTATCTGGAGACCACTGTAATAAAATAAAAATTTACAACTAGCACTTCAGGGACAGCAAATAACTAAAATTAAGAAAAAGGCTAGGGGGTGAAAGGAACAAAAGGAGGAGATTGATTAGTACCTGTACACAGAGAACAGCAGCTTTGTGACCCTCAAATTTATAGACAGGCGAACCAACTCCATTAGAAGTGAGGTTCCGTCGATCAAACATGCTAACAGAAGTATCTGCTGACCTGATGAAAATCAAGCAGAGATAAGAAAACATGCATTTAATTTTTTCCTTACAAGCACAAAACATCAACCAAAATAAAAATGATTATTTGGTTACCATCTTGACAGCACAACATAACTGGAGGAAGCATAAAATTGAAACATACCCAGTCAAGATGAGGTTATCATCATGAGGATTCCAATCAACGCAGTGAAGATCAGCATTATGTGCCTTCTCAACCTGTTGATCAGAAACCCAAATAAGGGGAGAAGAATGGGAAAACATAGATAGTCAGAGCTGAGCTCTTTATCTTACAATTGAACAAGCACAATTCACTAAATACCACAATGTTAACAAGATAATAAGGCATGCAAAACATGAATGATATTTTGATTCATTAAAAGGAAATAAAAAATAAAAAAATAAAAAAGTTATTACTCAGTTTCTAAGATGAAAGCATTTACATACAATCAGTGTGAACAGATTGTCAAAACAAGAAAAAAGTCAACATAGCAAGGAGCAGAGAGTAATGTTTGGTACACTAGTATTCCCATCATTCTGGACAATTAGATCAGATTTTCACTTCATCAATACTGGGAATGCCTTTATGGATACCATAAGATTTAGCAACCATAATCTAAGAAAAAAATTATAAAAACATATGCTAAGTACTAATAAGACCATAAAGCAGGGACACATAACCTTGATAGCTGGGCTAGTGCCAGCTCGAGCATCCCATAATATAAGGCAAGAGTCATCTCCTACGCTACAAAACTCCTGCGCACTTCATAACACATAAACTTAATCAGAAATATCAACTTACATGCTTTCCAACATTATAATTAAAGATAAATATAACAGAATATTAACGAGATGAATTTTATGGCTACATCTTTTATTATATGCATCATACAACGAATCAAATAACATATCATAAATGATGACTACGATAATAAAAATTCTGAATTTTCATGAAAGATGGATATTATACATTTATTACTAAGACAACAAACAACCAGATGGACTTTATGCATGTAGCCAGGGCCATGTAAGATACCTGGATGGACAGAATGCCACATCTTCAACTGTATCCTCATGCCCCTGGTATATACCTCGTGGTCCAACAGACGGGCCATCAGTGGCTTTATCATTACCATCCCCAGCCTTTTTAATGATTGATCCACCAGATCCTGCAGACTTTGTTGCTGGGTCAGTGGCAGATGATGTTATATGGTCTTGGATACTCCACAAAACTACAGACTTGTCCTTCCCTGCAATTAAAACCCCCTATTTAGAAGAAAATCTTCATCAAGATAAATCAAGTTAGTCCTAGTCCCCATACAAGCAATCTAGATGTGCATATAAGAATCATGAACATCCAACCAAACTCTAGAGCCACTGCATAACAGTACACATCACAATACAGATTTCAACCCACATAATAAGACAAATATGCTGCTTGGTGCAAGTAGCAATCGACCCCAAACTTTTAAGAAAGTTACTTTTTAATAAGCACACACCATAATGTGTATTCAAAAGAAAATAATAACAAAAACCAGCAGCATGTAATAACACAAATAAGCTGTTCTGACACATGTTAGTCTAATCAAGCACAAGTGGCAAGTCACCCTAACTCCATTAAAAAAATAAAAAATAAAAAATCCACCCTGACTTAAAAAGAGATTTTCTAACCTCCAGAAAGCACATAGGGTTCAGTTGGGCACATTGCAAGAGCAAATTCAGCATTGTCTTGATGTCCAGTCAAAATCTGCAAGAAAGAGTTCCAAGTTAACATGGTTTAGAGCCCCACACTAAAAAGGGTCACTCAAGTAAAACAATTATCAATCCCTGCTAATATCAAACAGGTCTGCAAATGCATGGTGATATGGAAATGCCTGGAATGCTACAGTAACGCAAGAAAATGCTTTATAGAGAGAGCCATTTGAAAACAGTCGCATTCGCATATGCCCATTCACAATTTACAACACTCTTTTATATCGAGGAAGGAAAATATCTACGTGACCCTACTTTCCATTGTAGTGAAACCAATTAACAAAGACTACAAAGAGTACTGATTATAGATATAAAAAGATAGCCTAAATAAATAAGTAAATAAACAAAAAATGCTGCATTTCAAAATAAAATTATACCAAATCTGGACGAGAGTTTGTAGCTCCAAGAACAGCATGGCGGTTAGGCTGTGTTTCAACATCCCATATAAGAACCTGAAGTTTTAAAAGTCCAACGCAGGCCAAATTAAATAATGGAAACTAACAAAACTTAAGTAAAACCAAAAACAGCATAACTTCAGCCTAAATAAAGAAATCAATAGTTTCCTAAGACACTCACATCAGGACCGTCAGTATGAGTGGCCACTATCTTACTATTCTGTGGGAGTTCTCTGATTCTGTTTACCTGAAAAGTGCATTAAGTAAAAGTAAGAAGAACAAGCTCAAGTGGGATTTCCCAGATTTTAGAAAGCAGAGCAAAAAATCAAGATCAGGGAGGACATGTAGTAAAGTGCCATTGAGGCAAAATTATAAGTGCTTGTAAGAAGAATCCCTTTTCTAACAGGAAATACAGACGTAAAATTTTACAACAAACTTGAGAATAGAGAAATCAAGTATATACCTAACTTATACAGAAAGAAAAATGTGTCAAAAGTTTATAATCAGCGGATATATCTGCATCGCTGCATGCAACTGTAAATAACTACATATACTATGGTTGTGTGCATTTTGTAAGTGAGATTTATACCTCTCCAGGATGTATGATAGTCTTGTACTTCTTAACAAATGGAGAGCGCGCTTCTTCATTAAACTGAAAAAAATAAATAAATAAATAAATAAAGCAAATGGATGTTAACTAAATAAATTAAGTAGAATTGAGGAACCTAACAATGTATTTGGAGGATAGAAAGTGGAGGAAAGAATTTGGGGGAAGAAATATGACTTAGAATTGATTAGGCGAAAGAGAGAAAATGAGGGGAAGGAAAGGTGAGTGAAAATCTTCCTTGGGCCCACCAAAAATCAATCTCTCCAATTTGAAGAGAAAATGGAAGGATAATGAAAAAAGGTTACTCATTCACCCTTGTAATAAATTCTTTTCCACAAAACGAAGGGTCACAGGAATTTTATGAACTTTCTCTACACAATGAACTTTCTCTACACATTAATTCCCCTCCAAATTCCTTCCATCAAAACAACAAGAGAGGCAATAATTTCTCTCCTGTAACTTACTTTCCCTTCATTTTCAATCATTTCACTTTCCTTCCCTTCATACTTGGTTCCCAAACATAGAGTAAAAGTTAAGAGCAGGAAGCACTCATGAGTCACCTGAGATATGTGTTCCGCAGCAGCAACTCTAGACTTGACAACTTCGCAATTAGCAATAACCAGAGTATTTGGAACACTGCCATCAGTCTGGCCACAAAAAAGTAGTTGAATAAAGAAAAATAACCATTAAAAAGAAAAGAAAATTGTTATGAGAACAGTTCTGAAGAAAGTGATCAAAAAAATGTCTGAATTATCATGTGATCAAAAAAATGTCTGAATTATCATAGAAAGTAATATTTATTAGCAAGGTTAATAGGAGAACAGATTTCTAGAAGGGAAAGGGTGAAATGCAGGACATAAAAACAGTACCAATACATGAAAAATACCATCTTACAAGAAAGATATTAACAAAGGAAACGCAGCACAAGTCATTCTTTATCAACAGAGTACCTAAAATCTCTAAGACATTCTGCCCACAATTTCACATAGCATCAACTAGAAAGAGAGGGTCATAGGGTAAATTACAAAAGCCCCTTCCAAACTAAAAGACTGAACAATTGCACACCAAACCCATAGGCTCCAATTATTACCATTAAAACCTTGAAGTTTCAATGTTGTTTCAGCGTAAGAATGTTATCTATTAATTGGGCTGGAACAGAACTATCATGTGTAGAAGGACAAAAATTCAATGTGCATGGGACAATGCTTATTTCCTCAGCCCTCTCAATACCCATTTGAGCAGTCAGATTTTACCCATTTTGCTCGGATTAAGAAAATGAATAATTCTCTTCGGTAATCTCTTTATTGCCAAAAAATGAAGATAAAAAAAACTAGCCTGCTCGGAAAGATAGAGGCGCTGGCGATTCTTGTAAGTAGCTTGCTCAAGCTGCGGACCCCACCTAATCACAGAATCGTCAATCAATTAAAAATGAACAAAATAACATAATGAACTTTAATCATTGTAAAGGAGCAAAGTAACCAAACTGAAAAACCCTAGCTTCAGTTCATAAAAAACAACAAAAAAATGAAATCTCTCACTCTCTCTTAACCCAAAAGGAAATGCAACATAATAAATAAAGTTCCCGCTAGTTAGGGTTTTGTCTTCAATAAAAGATGCAACACATTAAAGATCCGAAAATAAAAACCTAGACAAGAAAGAACATTTAAAAATACATAGCAAAAAGAAAAGCATCAATCAATCAAGAAATGAAAGGAAAGGAAAAACCCTAGTAGAAAAGAGAAAAAACACACCGGCAAGAAAGAGATGGCCAAACGAGGTTGTGATTGGCAAGCCAGTCATAAAGAACAGGAACCAAAGACTTCCACTGAGTGTACTTGTCATCAACAGAGGGTTGTTGTGCCTTCTTTCCCTCTTTCATTTTGGCACCAGCACTTTGCTGCTGCTGCTGCTGTTGATCTTCTTTGGGCTTCGGTTTTCGGCCTCTCTTCTTAGGCAATTGAGGAGTAGCAGCAGCTTCCATTTCAAAGAAGAAGAATTCTCTCTTCTCTTATGGGTGATAGCTAAAACCCTTGAGAGGAGGCTCTGTCCTGTCTAATAGTAAAGATAGGACCTACCACAACAAGAATGTGATGGTGACTTGCAATGGTGAAAAGGTTTAAGAAATGGGACGGTAAGGTGTTGAAGGGTTTAATGATACAAACGTTGAGTTTCGACAAAAACACCTTGCCAGTATCGATTTGAGGCAATCAGATACTTTAATTTGAACCGTTAGGCAATAGAGCTTCCTCTATTTATAAACACCCTAATTATCTGTTTTTTTTTTTTAATTTATCGCTAGAAATTATTTTTAATTTTTTATTTATATTATATTATTTATTTTATTTTTAAAAGAAAAAATTACAAATAATAAAAAAAATTGTCATTTTTTATTTATTTTACAAGATTTTTTTTATTTTTTATTTTCAAAAGCTAAAGAAAACAAATATTACATGAAAATTATAAAATCGTAAACACATAAAACCAAAACTTTTATGAAAATATAAATTCGAAGATCATGCTTATAAAAAAAACTACACAAATTGAATCCAGTATGTTTCATTAATAAATTGGTAATTGTATCCTTCATTGATGAAATAAATAAATAAAAACTTTTAAAAAAATAAATTGTAAAAAAAAATTCAAACAAATAAAAACAAAACTCATATTCTGTAGTAAACAAATAAACAGTTGGCTAAAAAAAATTAAATTATAACAAATAATGAAAACTCCAGTAAAAAATTAACAGAAAAATTATAATCTTTTAACAAAAAAAAAACCATTTAAAATAAGGTAAAAAATACTAACGTAAATAAAAAAATTGACAATTAATTTCTAAATATAAAAATTAAAAATCAAATGTCCGCAAAATTTTAACAATTTTTTAAATTCTTTTGAATTTTTTATTTTTAATTAGTTTTTAAATTAGAATCTATAAAAAATTGATACGTGTCTTTTCATTAAAAAAAAAGTAAAAATTAACAAAAAAAAATTAGATGGACTATAAATTTAGAGACCTATGTTGTCCGACACATCAAATTATAAGAATCCATTTATCCCAATTGAAACCACAAATATACATTTGCCATAAATTGATAACGCAAGAACTCCTTACGAGGTTTTTTTACCGGTGTTGTGGAATTAGTGTTGCGGTAAAGACTTTTTCTTACGAGGTTTTCTTTATTTAGAGTCAATATATGTAATTATGAGTAAATTATAATTAGTCACTTTAGATTTACAAAATAAATTAAATAGTTTCTCTAGTTTAATAAATTAATTAATTAGTTCATTTTGTCGATTTTATATTTTTTCCATTTTACTTTTTTTGAAAAAATAAAAAAGGAATAAAAAATAAATAATACGGAAAGATTAATAAAAAAAGATATTTTTTAAAATAAAGCAATTTCAAGTTAAGCATGATTAATTAATACTAGTCAAAAGACGAATTGATTAATGTTAAAAAATAATGATATTATTTAATTTATTTTGCAAAACCTAGAGGGACTAATTCATAATTTGTTCATGTAACTTTTTATGTTTTCTATTGGAATGTATCTATTCATTTTTATTTCCTTTTTTTTCTTTTTTTTCTTTTTTTTTTTTTTTGAGTAGTTATGTTAAAATACATTTTAACTATATAACTACTACTCGTAAAGCAGATCCTTTATTGTTAGGCATGACATGAGAGTAAATAACAACATTGATGTTAGTTTCCTCTGTTTGAGTTTTTATATTGGTTTATTTTTTCATTAAGTTTTGTTTTTTATTTATATCCTATTCTTTTGAAACTTCCTTCATATTAAAATAAAATATTGATTTCTAAATACGTTAATTCACTTTATAAGACTTATTATGAATCTTTTTTTTTCCATAAAATAGATGAAAAAATTCAAATTCCAAACAAAAAGAAATTAGAAAATATAAGAAAATCCGATAACATAAATCAAGATTAATATAATTAAGAAAATACAATTTTTTTCAAAAAGAAATCAAATTAACCATGATATTTACTACCACAATTTAACATGATATATTCATAAGACCGATCGGGGGAAAAAAAAAAAAACAATGTCATGTGCCAACAATGCCAACAAGCACGAAATACCATAAATCAAGACTTTATAACTTTAAATTAAATATAAAAAAAGCCCACAAATTAACAATGTCCTTTACTTTTTTGTGAAATCATTCATGGCGGACACGATTTCTTTAAGTTTGTGCCTTGCAAGAGATGGAGTTTACGGATGATGAGAAAAAGGGTTCAAAGAGAAAAGGATGAGTCCTTGGATAATCAAATAAATTTATGTCAATTGAAATTTCAGCATCTAATTTTTTATTTTTGTTTCGTTTGAGTATTTATTTTTATTTTATTTATTTGAGTGACTAACATTTACTCTTCTTCTTGTTTTTATTTGAGTGCATCCCATCTCCTTTTTTTCCTGTTTGAGGGTACTCCATCTCCTAAAAGCTGTTAAGTGTTAGTGTAGTCGGCATTAACTAAAACATAGCAATTATGTATTGACACTCATCGAAAGTGGGTCTCGTTGAAAATTATTGACAAAAAACCAAATAAATATACTTACGACTTGTAAAAATGGACCATGTTAAACAATTTCCTACGAGTAGGGCCATACATGCTTCCGAGGACTCTAGACTTCACTATTTGCCACCAACACTCAACGACATCATCGACATTTAAAGGTTTTATATGACTTTGCTCTTGTCTAACTCCTTCGAATCAACTAATTAAATTACAATTTTCAATAAACTCATTCCGCCATCGATTTGAAAAAATAATAAGCACCTACATGGAAACTAAAAAACGGGAAAAGAAAAAAAAGTTCCATAAATTCAATAAAAATGCAAGCATAACTTAATGGTAAAAAAATCGGATCAAAACAAACATTTACTACAAGCGAACGTAAACTTCCTGTAAAATTATTCACGAGCATGTTAGAATAAAATTCTAGTATGAGTTGCACTAAAACACACCAATCAACCACACAATCATATTTCATCAATTCTTTTGGCCTACAACTTGTACAACTTGAATAAATTAATCAATTACTTGATCGGGATGCAAGCACTCAATAATAGAAGTAATCGGACTCATACTTATATTTCATCATTTCCTTTGGTCATTCTTGAATTTTCTCTCAATAATCTTTATTGAATCAAGAAACCCCAGTTGTAAGTTATTTTCAATTTTAAGAACCAACAATCACCATTTTTTCACAAAACAATTTTTTAGAGATATAACCTTAGTAAATCATATTATTGTGAGGTAGAGAGAGAAGATTAGGGTTATCAATTGAAAGAATAAAAAAAAACACCATAAATTACTAGATTTAACACCAACAAAGTACTAAAGGCATTATCCGAAGAGCCCTCGTTCTCGTTCTACTTAAGCATTGGCTTGTGAACTCTACCAATGCTATTAAATTAATTTAGGATTGATTTGAAGAGATAAAAAGATTTTATTAAGGTTTTCATGAAAACAAAAATAGAGAGAGATTAGTAGGGTTATCTATTGAAAACAAAGAGCAAAGAGAGAAAATTCAAAGGAAATAGTGAAAAAAATAACATGAAATAAATTCAAAATGTGAGGCTTTGCTATTATGTCAAAAGCTTGTTAGCTTCGTGTTGGCGTCTATGCTCTAACGTCATAGCAGTAAGTATGATGCTCTCGGTAGTGATCGCATCATCTACTATGTTTGATCCATGCTATACGAGCTTTAACTTGATCCTACTAGAAGAGCTTTCTCTATCATATAGAGAATTTCCTCATGTTAGAGGACTATCCTCAAATTCATTTTCCAATCGAGAAAGTTTATACCGTTGAAGGTATTACTTTCGTCAATTATCGATCGTATCAATGTGTTGTCAATCATACTATGCAATCCGACATGATAGAAAAATGTTCGATTTGGTTAATTAAATTGCATAAAACAAAACAAAACATAAATCAAAGAAGTAAAATCTATGTTTGCTCTCATTATTTTCTTCAAGTTTTATAACCTTTAATATATGACTCAAGAAAATTTTTCGATTCGTTTTGTAAGTAGGTTAGGATGTCATCCTCTAACATGCATTAATATTAAGTTATCTCAACAAGCCATATATGAAGGATTACGTAGGTAACTCCTTACCAATTACATCTAATGTAATTTATAATCTCATTGGCATGACAAGTCCTTATCATAACACATCTTATGTGAATATCAATCCTTGCCTACAAGTTTATTAGACCTTGAGTTATCCGAACAAACTCAACAAGTCATTTAAGTTAGACCTAATGTTCGGGGATATCGCATGGCCCATGATTTGTTTTCCTTGAGGAAAAAGTGATCTTGAGTTATCTCAACAAGCTATTAACGGCCAAAAGAGTTCTCTCGCTTATAACATTGAAAGATAATTAACTTAATATTTTATTTGAAAGATTTAATTTGGCTGGTTTCATCCTAACATGCATACTAATCAATAATCACATTATTCATAACATGCTTACTAATATTAATCATATAATATACATACATCTCATGCATGACACAAAGGATCGATGAATGGTAATGATCTCTAATATTAGCCCCTTCGAGCCACAAGAAGACTAGTGGGTCAAATTCCTAAATGAAAAATTATTATAAATTCTTCAATAATGTCTACATTTCTTGGCATCTTCTTCTTACACCTATTCTAATTTCTATCTTCTATTTTTACATTTATTTGAATAAGAAACCTCGAGTTATATTTGAAGGGAGTAAGATGAGAAAAGAAATACAATAGAGTATAAGAGACGGTAGGATGCGTAGGTCTTATTTATCAAAAAATTACAAATATTGATTCTATAAAACTAGGCTAACTCATTCATACCATTCACTCATGCTTCAATCACATTAATACATGGCATATTAATGAAACACATTTCATTCATAAAACAAATATAAATCTATATTTTTGGTTATTTTGTAAATTTATCAAAATTTC